CCTAAACCCTGAACCCTGAACTTCCCAGCTCTTTGAAGCCAACCCAAAGGCCAAGCCCCTTCCTGGCTTGTGTACGACTGCAGGGGCCCTGCGGGCTGTGGGTGTCAGGGTGTCGGTGTTCTTGGGCTTGTGGGCTCTTCCCCCTAGACCCTAGACCGAAAACCCTAAACCCTAAACTTTAAACCCTAGACTCCTAGACCCTAAACCCCAAACCCGAAACCCTAAACCCTAAACCCAAAACCCTAAACCCTAAAGGTTGCTTACAGGCTACGGGCTTTAATGCGGCCTTACCTCAAGCTCGGGTTTGCTTCCTGCTTGGCTTCTTGGCCCTGGCAAATCCCCTAAACCCTAAACCCTAAACCCCTAAACCCCTAAACCCTAAATTCCCAAACCCCTAAACCCCTAGACCCCTAAACCCCTAAACCCTAAACCCAATCCTCATGAACCTGCAAGCCCTGGCTTTCAAGCCTTTCCAAACCTGAGCCGCGGACGCTCAAAATTCGAAATCTCGAAATGCAGCGACCTGTCCGCTGGTTACAGTCTAGTCTCGGGGCCCCATGTCCAAAACTCCCGACTTATCCTGTTTACCCCCTAAACCCTAAACCCTAAACCCTAAACCCCCCAACTTATGCCCGCAGACCCTAAACACCCATGAAGCCAAACCAACTCTAAGCATGAATTCTGCTTCTCTGGGTCGTAAACCTTTTGAGTAGTTCTCTAATTTGGGGTCCCTTTTTCGGTCCCCACTATAGCACGGCACCTGTATAGATAGGACCCTAACAGGGACCCGAGTTTAGAGAACTCCCCGTTTGGCAGGGAGTAGGTAAACCCAGACTCGACAGCCGCGGCACCTTCTCTTCCTGAGGGCGTCAAGGCTTAAGTTGTAAGGATCGGCATCAGCTCTGTGGTAGGGCTTGCGATTCACGACTCACCCTCCACGTTCTAGCTTACGGATCGTGTGTATATTATATATAGAGAGAGAGAGGGGCTTGCAATAGGTAGACTTAAACATGGGAACCTGAAACCTAGAACCGAAGCAAGGCCTCCAGTAAGGGAACCTAAGCGGCTGCATGGTGAGTCAGACTTAGCCTTAGCAGATCCGAAGCCTAAGGACGTAGGTCATGTTTGGAGTGGTGGTTGGAGATACTTTCTAGACCCAAACTCAAACAGCTACTACGACTACCTCCACTACCACCACTACTACCACTCAACTACTACTGCTACTACTCCTCCACCTCCTGCTCCTACTCCGAGTCCTACTCCTGCTCTTGCTCCTCCTCCTGCTGCTGCTGGTTTACGGATGTGGATTTAAGGGGAGTCGAAGTCTTCGAAGGGAAGCAGCTGCTAGCCAGGGTTCAGGGATGTTCGGGGTTTTGTAGGCTTTTAGGGTTTAGGTCTCGCGGCACGGGGTGTTCTGCAGCCTTTGCCAGATAGTGTCTCGACGTGCCATGAGATGATCTGTGCTTTTACAGCTGACCTGGCGCGGAAGGCCTCGCAATTCGAAGAGACGCACCAGTCCACAACCGGGGCGCCATCCATATGGCAGCAAGCTGCTGAACGGCCCATTCCCAGCAGCCGCCGTCTGCTATCGCAGATGGAGCAACTCTACTGGCCACGGTTAGGGTTTAGGGTTTAGGGTTTAGGGTATTGAACTCAACCTTGGCGAACTAACTTACTGCTCCTCATCTCCCTGGTACCACGCCCAACGCGTGAAGTATAGCACCAGTACCCTATACCCTAAACCCAAAAAACCCTAAACCCTGAACCCAAAACCCCAAACCCTAGGCCCTAAACCCTATACCCTAAACCCTAAACCCTACAGTGGTCGGCTGCAGACCATTCCCGGCTGAGTTTCCGAAATCGCCAAGACTGACATGAACTAGACTGCCTTTGGCAAGTTCGTCCTGAATCCAAATTAGGGGTTCGAGGCGTAACATAGGGGCCTTCATAATTAGAACAGGGTTTTGAAGGTGTTTATGCCATAATTATAAACAGGAACCCCCAAGATAGTATTGGTGATTATTAAGGCCCTTATATTAATGCCCGAAACCCTTGCACCCCTTGGCAACACACCCTTTTTCATCGTAGTGATCTTTGAAGGACCCTTGAAAGGAGACCCTAGAAGCTATACAAAGGTCCCGTGGTTGGGCATGGGCTTAAACTTTACAGTAAAGAACCCCAAAATGGTATTGGCAATTCTGCAAGCCACTGAACTTCTGAACCCTGAACCCTTAACCCCGAAACCCTAAACCCTAAACCCTCAAGCCCCTAAACCCTTAACACCGAAACCCGAGACCATAAACCCTCAAGCCCCTAAACCCTTAACACCGAAACCCTAAACCGAGTCCGAGCATCTCCACCAGGTGTTCCAGATCAACGCACCCCCGGGCTTCAGCAGCTGTCGCAGCCTCCCCCGAGCCGATGGCGGTTCTCTGGAGGGTCTTGGTGTGCTGTGAGGTCTGGTTTAGGGAGTTTAGAATTCAGAGTTTAGGGTTTAGGGTTTTGGGGTTTACGGTTTAGGGCTTCAGGGCTTTAGGGCTGAAGGTTTAGGGTTTAGGAGTCAAAGAGGGACAGGTACTCCCATAATCTTGTCTTGAGGTCGTCTGATCGGCCTGATTTCTCCAATAGGACCCCTTAAGAACACTACGAGTAATTGAAGCTTCCAGAGGCTCCTCTAGCGCTTTAGAGGTAAGGGCTCGGGATCTTAATTCCCCCTATAAGCCAGGGAAATAGAAGGTTAAACATGCAGATTACTACTAACTTATAAGAACCCACAAAGTTTAAAGGTTGGGTATTGGGGAACTAAGCTAGGGCTTGTGCAGCTTGGACTTTCAACAGGGGCTTTAAGTCCAGCACGCAAGCCTTCTCGTCAAAGCTTTGGGCAATGCTACAGCTTGCCCTTAAGCTGCGACGCAAAACCTACTTGTTGCACGATCGCATGAAGGTCCTTAGCGAAAGGCTTCTAGGAATCCGACAGGAAAAATCAGGTCGTGGAGTCCAATATCTGCTGCACATACAGGCACTGCAGCGCTTGGCAGCGCCAACACGACATGATTCCCAAAGAGATGCGCTCCCTGACTTCTCGGCGAAGACGACAGAGATCTCAGTAAATGCACGGTAATACGGGGTCGATCTCACTTACATAGTAAAATCTCCTACACCCTGAACCCTAAACCAAAAGCCCTGAATCCTAAACGCTAAACCCTAAACCCTTCTTATCAGTGAGCTCTGCTGCTGTACTCACAAGGCATCTGATAACCTTTCGGGTTACAGTTTAGGGTTTAGGGTTCAGAGCTTAAGTTTAGGGTTTAGGGTTTAGCGCGCCCAATACCCCTGCATTAAAGGAACCTACCCTAAACTGCCTAAACTACAAGAACAGGAATCTTGGGCTTCAAGGTACATTCCTTAATTATAGCGTGTCTGGGAGCTCTATTTTAAGGGCCTCAAAACTTTGAATAAGGTTTGGATAGGTAATACAATACCCAAAATGCCAATTCTAAACGACAGACCATAGTTCCAGTAATCTTCAGGCTTCTATATGAAAGCGAGTTTGGAGGCCTCCGCAAGCCGTCAGCATCTGGAAGGATGTGCACGGCCTGAGGAGCGAAGCTGCAGGGTTCACAGATTTGTCATTTCGTCGGAGCTTTGAAATTAGGGAAGGTTCTGCGGTTTAGGGCTTAGGGATTAGAGGGTCTAGAATCCCAGGTATCGAATCCAGGGTTGAGTGCTTTACCCTGAGCGTGCACGCAGGTAGTAGGTGTCAGTGCATCGTACCGGTTGCCTGGGCCTGCAAGGGTTCCTACAGTCCTAAACACCGCCTTTCGGGCCAAACTACAGAGGTGCTGCATTATGTGTGGGTTTAGGGTTTAAGGTTTAGGATTTAGGGTTTAGGGTTTAGGGTGCATTATGTAGTCACACGGACCCTTGGGTAAGGGATGAGTACATGTGAGGCTTGGAAGGGCTTAAGGTTTAGGGTTTAGGGTTTAGGGTTTAAGGTTTAAGGCTTAGGGCTTTGGGTCTTATCGGGCTTCTGGGTTTCAGGCTTTAGCCAGACTTTTGGGACTCAAGCTGGAGGGTTTAGGGTTGACAGATAAGGAGGTAGGCTTGATGCTTTGGGTATCTAGTCTTCGGAGGTTTACGGGTTTAAGGTTGCAAGGTAAGGCGTTCTATGTCAGGTTTCGGGGGGGGGCTTCAGGGCCGGGGTGCTGAATGAAGTGAAGTCTGCTACTCGCGAGCGGACGACCTTGACCTCCTAGGATGGTGCCCGGATCCTCCTCAAACCCAAGATATGGCACCCTCCTGACTTCAACCCTCAGCCTTAAACCCCAAGCATGAAGTCAAATCCTTAAACCCTACCCTAAACCCTAAACCCTAAACCCTAAACCCTAAACCCTAAACCCTAAACCCTAAACCCTAAACCAAATCCTTAAACCCTAAACCCTAAACTCTACCCAGAGCTCCAAGCCCTAAACTAACGCTCCCAAAGTGTCCACAACGAGGGGCTGCCACCAGGTCGAAGTGCTTCAGTGGCACGCGCTCTGCCAGCTGGGCCTTCCATGCTTTTGATGCTTGGCTGTAGATGTTTTGGATTGTAGGGTTTCGGGTTTAGAGTTTAGGGGTTTAGGGTTTAGGGTTTAGGGTTTAGGGTTTAGGGTTTAGGGTTTAGGGTTTAGAACCTTTTTCCATCTGCACGAGTTCGAAAGCGCAGGGTTCAGGCTTAAGCCCCGAACCCAAGACTACTACAGCCTCGGAGATCGAAGATGGGACTGCTCGGAGTGAGGATAGGTGTTGGGGCCTCGTTCACGCTTGAAGATCTTCAAGCCTGCCCGAAACGCCGAAGGCCCAAAACCTCACCCCTCGAGTACTACAACCCCTTCCCTTTATAAGGATTCTAGCAGGGGGTGTCCTAGTTTGATGCTATGGCAACCCCCTAATCCAACCCACAAAAAAGCCCAGAAACTGCATCCAGGTTTAGGTGTTAGGGTTTAGGGGTTTCGAAACCCTTGCAACCACGCTCAATCAAATCCCTTTTGTACCTGATAAAACCTGATAGATGCCCCCTGGCCCTTGTCAATGCCTCGTCCAGTTCCACCAGATTCTCTGCCAGATCCTGCGGTGGTAGCAACCGAAAGGAACGTAGATCTCCGTGAAGCATCTTGGTGGCTGGCTAACCCTAAACCCCTAAAACCCTGAACCCTAAAAACTGAACCCTAAACTCTGAACCCTAAACCCTAAACATGTGTTGTGTTTTGAAGGAGGGGCGTGCTTATCGGATTCTAAAGCTTGTGAGACTAGGGTTTAGGCTTGAAGTTTTAGGGTTTTAAAACCCCTAAACCCTAAACCCTGAACCCTGAACCCTTAACCCTAAACTCCGACCCCAAAAGCCCTCAACCCTGAAACTCTGAACTCCTAAACCCTCAGCCCAAGCCCTGCGCCCTAAACCCGTCAGCTCTGGCTCAGGGTTTAGGTTTCAGGGGTTTGGGGTTTGGGGTTTAGGGTTTAGGGTTTAGGGTTTAGGGTTTAGGGTTTAGGGTTTAGGGTTTAGGGTTGAGGGGTTTAGGGTTCATGGTTCAGGGTTCAGGGTTCAGGGTTCAGGGTTTAGGGTTTAGGGTTTAGGGCTTAGGGTTTAGGGTTTAGGGTTTAGGAAATGTTTAGAAGAGGAGAGCTTGCTTGCATTATCACGCCTTCAAAAGAGAGAGGGGTTTAGGGTTCAGGGTATATGACCCAGTCAATTTCAATCCGAAGGGCGGCACTTGCTCTTCCTGGCATAGGGTTCTGAGCTCTTCCCCAATAAGCCAGGAAATAATAGGTTAAGCTTTCAGATTACTACTACATTATCAGAGTTGAAAAACTTTAAAGGTTGGGTATTGCTAAGCTTCGGGTTTGCATTCACGCTTGGGACGGCTAAGCGCGATGACCTTCGTGGTAGTATAGATGGACTCTCCCCACGGCCAATGCACTTTTACCCCAAGCTACAAAAGCCCTAAACCCTAAACTCAAAAACCCTAAACCCTAAAGCCCTAAACTCTAAAACCCTGAAACCCTAAACCCTAAACCCTTAGACTCCTGAAGCCCGAACCCTCCTCCGGATGGAAGTTGCCGATGTCGTTGTACAAAGGCCGCTGGCACCTCCAGCGCTGGGGTCTCCAGGGGCTTACAGCTTAATACAGAGGCCTTCATAATTAGAATAGGGTTTTGGGGGGCTCCTGTTAAAGCGTGCCTTGAAGGGTTCTACAAGGGCTTCTATAAGGGTTTAGGGTTTAGGGGCCTTAATTGTTAGAATAGGGCTTTGGGGCCCATTATAGTATAACCATAACAAGGAGCCCCCAAAGTACATTAATTATTAAGGCCCCTATCTTAAAGCTTTGTTCGGGGGGTTAGGGTTGAGGGTTTAGACGTCAGAGTCTAGGGCTTCAGTTTTTGGATATAGGCTGCACGCGTTGAAGGGCCCTGTCCGGGATATAGAAGGCTCGAGGGCTTGGCAGAAATTAACAGCTTGCAGGGGATCGAAGGCTTAGGGCTAATGTAGGAACCTGAGTAAGAAACCCTGGGTCTTTATTAGGATTATTATGAATCCTAGTATTTTGGGGTTATAGGGCCAGGGTTTCTTAATCAGGTTCCTACATTAGGGCGATAGTGCAAACCTTCACAGCCCTGAGCCACACAGTTGCTTAGCAGACTCGATATGGTCAGCCACGGCGACCCAATCCCGCTCGGCCACAGCAGGGAGGGCCTCATCGCTGCGATGATTTCATGCCCTGGCGACAAGCTCTTAGACGACGTGCCCAAATGCACTGCCGTACATGTCATATTCCTGCGCGCATCTTCTTTTTGTACGCGCTGTGGGATGCCAACATGACGCAGCACTCCACCTATCACCGTTCCACTGATGGACATGACATCATCCTTGTGGCCTGCGCCGCCGTCACCGAAGGGGTTCCCACTGAAAGTGAGCGGAGAAGTCGTCACATCAAGCGGTTCACTCTTCACCGCTTTCGTTGCTGCAAGAAACTCCTTTCTTCACTGCGAGGCCAGACTCAATCTTCACCATTGAGGTCTTTGCTGCCGACGCAGAGCTGCCGATATCATCATCATCATCATCATCATCATCATCACCATCATCATCATCACCATCATCATCATCATCTACA